CCTAACTTCAGCCGCTGCCGCCGTTTTTTTTACAGATTAGGAGCGGTAATGTATTAGTCTGCCATGTGATATGTTGCTGTACAGGCTTTCTAGCGCCTTTGCAGATTGGTTCACATATTCTTCTTTCTCTTGTATTTTTGCTCCATATACACACATTTGGCTCACAAACTCACAACTCAACGTAAGTCAGATGGTGAAATCAGTTTCATACCCGCTGTCTATGCCAAAGACGACTATGATCCGTCCAGACCTACTTTTCCGTGCTTGGTTTTCCTGTTTTTCATATCGCTTCTCGGGACCGTCCGACCGTCGAATTTGTGAAAGAGTCACCAGCCATTGTACGTACGCTTTTTAATCTGTGTGATGCCTTCATGCTGCACATTTGTAATTTGAAAGAAATTATGGAGTTTGGTTTGAGAATATTTTTGTTATGCACGTACCAGCTCCACTTGGTCAGCCGTCTTCCGTATTCAAGTAAGCTTTGAACTGGCTCCAACAAGCTCAATCGGATTAGAAATGCAGTGGAAAGGAGGGAAGTCTTCAAATTGATCGCAAGCTCCTCGAAAGTTTTTTCCGTAAGCCTACGGCAAAGCATCCCCTCGCGATTGCACATAATCTTCAACCTGAATAAGGAACGTTGCTAACTTTACTTTAGTTGGTTTGTTCTCACCCTTTCAACAAATTAACTTCCGCGGCATTTTCTGACTTCCACTTCACTTTTTGATACTCTCTTATATGTTCTTTTGTAGAAGAGGTTGTTGGAATCCTAATTGCCTCGAGTATTAAGGGCCTTATCCATTACTGAACGCGCTCACATGTGAGGAAAAGACTCACACCGCATTTCGAATAGATCCGAATATGTCCATGTGGTTGTTTCCATCTTCATCTCGCAACCCGCTAACCACCATCTTGATGCACTCTGGGATTACACCGTCTTCCGCACTTACGTCAATAACCTTTACTCGTTTTCCTGTTTCTTGTGCTGTTCTTCCACCACATGACTACTTTCCATAGTCATGATAACATGAAGATAGTGTTATCGTTCCATACTCGTCTAGTCCTACCAACGAAGATCCAAGTTTTGTACATGTACACAATGTAATTCGTAGTTCCACCCCTATAGCTAAGCTATGGCTTAGAGGTAACTCTCTTTCTTTGCAATGAAGTCGCGCCTTTTAAATATGAACGGCTGCCTTTTGTTGATCTTAAACGATAAACGGCCAGCTCTATCGTTTCACTCCGGCATGTTTATTGAGTGTTGCCGCTGTGGTCTTCCTTGGTGTGTTTCTTTCTTTCCTTAAGGTCTGTTGGTTTTCAACAACCTCGAATGTATATAACCTGTATAACCTCGAAACATTACGATAGCGTTGTCAAGTCTGTGGGTGATCCGAAAACTGCTCCTGCGCAAATAGTTCTCACAAGGGAATGGTCAGAAATTGAAGTGGCCAATCCAGTCAAGCTGCATACCATTAGATGCAGCATGAAGCGCTGACTTTAAATCTGTTTTCTTTATCTGCTTATCGCTTTTCTGGACGAAGTTATAAGCCATTAAAGACTATTATTTTGCTTAGAAATTATGCGTAAAATTGAAAATTTAGCCGTACAGAGCTTCGTTCGCCTCAATGTTGGGCCAAAACATGCAGCTAGCTTACTTAAAATTTTTGTAGCCAGAAGCCGAACTAAAAGTGCAACAATGTGCTCAATTTCGCTGTTTTTATGTAGGATTTTTTTGCAATAAAACTGCTTGTAGCTTCGTCCACAGAAGTGGGAAGCAGATAAGGAAGACAGATTCGAAGTCAGCGTTTTATACTGCATTGAATGATATACAGCTTCTTTGGTTTGGCCACTTCGACTTCTGACCATTCCCTTGTAAGTTCTATCTCTGAGGTTTTTTTTGAAGAGGTAAACTTGGTCACAATCTTTTTTTCTTGACGTCCGTGGACAATCCTCATTTTTGATCAATTTTTAACTCTCCTTTTTTGTCCATTATATTCTCAAGTGTTTGCTCACACGAACGGCACACGGTGCGCAGCTCTATTTATTAGCATAAAAGAGCTGTTTTTTGTGTTTTTTACAGCATATTTAGTCATTATGTTGCAACAGCAGATAAGTAGCAATTAGTTCACACCCTTGACACTGCTGGATCTGCTAATGCAAAAAGTACAAGCATGCAAAAAGCATAACGTAGACATTGTGTATTAGTATAGAATAACTGTGATTTATCCAATGTTCCTACTGTATGCAGCCTACAACTGACTCATTCAACTTGTACATATTACCCGGCATTCCATGCACGGAAAAGTGACGCAAAGAAGCACATTTCTACCAACAATAGAGAATACGCATGACAGAGGCAATTTCAGAACTGAAGGAGATGCAGATCGAGTTAGGGTGGAACGTGAAGCAGAAATGATGGTAGATAGGGACTAGTTAGGTACACCTGCAAACACAATTCAGAGTTTATCCTGGTCGAACAGCACACTCAAGCAAGCAAAACGTCAGTATTTAATATGTAACACTCAAAATAATCATTAGTTAATCATAACACTCACCGCATCTGATTATATGATACTGCATAGGATCCTAGCTCTACTATTTCACTACATGTATCTATCATAAGGGGCTCGGTACCAGCTGGAGCTAGGAAGATTTCGAAACAAAGTCCTTTTTGGTTTCGAAATTCTACGAAGTCTCCTTTAGCCTTTTTCGACTCCCTCCCCCCCCCCCCCCCGCTACTTCTTACTTGCCTTTTTGCTTGTACTGTCGCTCACCCTACAATAGATGGTAAAATGGTGACCCCCCTTCTATTATTTATCGGAAAATTCAAAAATTTTCAACACTGCATCATGTGCTGAACGTTTTATTCATGGTCGGAGCCTGAAACCTACCGATCCAGCGCTTGCACCCTCCATTCCACATCTCCCTTACTCATTTTCCACTTCTTCCCCTGTTTTCCTCTACCCCATCCACCTCCAACCCCCCCCCCCCCCTCCCACACCGAACTTGGCTTGTTCAGAGGGGCGCTTTGCGATCGGAAAAGATTACGCGGCCAAGGGAAATTTTTTTGAAGTTATGAAAAATATAAAGAAAGCGTTATGAAACGTTTTTTTGTATAAATCTCTTTCTCCTATGCTTCCACTGGAATTGCAATATATGTAAGAAATTACGAAAAGTTTTTAAGTAAAGGATCGGTTCGAGTTTAGATGAGCTAAATCGCAAAAAAAGTTGAGCAGGTTGTAGAAAATCTTCGATGTTATGCCACGCGGAATTTAATTGTACTGTGGGTACTACCTCAGAGGTAACCGAAACTTTATTAATAAAACACAGGCGTTGGTTCGGCATTGAAATAAGAGTGAAGTCTCACCAAAACTTGTCTCGCGAGTGCTTCAGAGAAACTTGTGGACCCAAGACTACCCCAACTTGTGAAGGAACTTGTTGAAAATAGCTTGACCTTACTCATCCATCAGTATGTATATCCTCTAGATCTTGTTGACTGTATATGCCATCATTGTCAACTGATATGTTGATAAGCTCGGCTAAGTAAGGATGTGTAGTCAAGGCAATGATAGACTGATGGGGAGTTCGCAATAATTTGTACTCACTTGTCTGGCCGACTTCTTCCATTGCGGGGTACTGGTCCTACATAAAGGGCTTATCAACATTACAACACAAACAATAAAATAAATATAAACAAAACAATCGATACAATTACAAATAGATGTGATCACACTCTACTTCGACTTCAAGGTCGCCTTTGGCGACACTCCCGCCTCAACTGTGTTCTCTCCCTTGTGTCCTTTGTTCGTAATTTCTCTCCTCAAAGAATATACCGCTCCTTTGCTTCGACCACTCATCTTCTCAAAACTTCCTTCTTATCAAGGACACTGCAACTGCACAAGGACTTGTGGTGTCCCGAGTCTCGCGGCAACAGTCTGGCTGCGATTGTGCCTCTCACTTTTTTACGGTAAAAGCAGGACCGTGGTCTAAACTGGCACCTTCCAGGTGGATTGGTTTCCAGACACATTGGGCATAATTTCTCCCTGCGTGCATGCTCGTGACGTTCATTACCATGGCCCGTAGTAAACCGGAAGTTCAGCGCGACGCGCTGGGGCGGGCCTACGTTGAACGTAGACCCCCTCACTCCGGCATCCAGTGAGCTATTGATTTGGATGCGGATCGCTTTCTAGACATAGTGAGCTTATGCGTTCCCAAAAACTAGGCCGTTTGAGCAGGTTTGGTCGAACGGCTATGTGAGTAGGCCCGCCCCCAGCCGAGCAGGTTTCAACTCCTAAGGCCATGGTTCGAAGCCTGCTAGAGGTAGATTTTTGCGCTACCACGGACAATCTTTGTTAACGGCCGCTATCGAGAAAAATCGATGGCGACCGGTATTGAGAAAAATCGATGGCCACCGCTATCAAGGATATTGCCAAGCAAATGAATGGTTAAAACAAAACTACCCCTATTTTGACGAGGATGTCACGAAAAACGAAATTTTTGGAACACAGAGCAAATGAAAATCCTTGCTACAAGCAGTTCTCGAAGGCAAAACGTAAGCAAGGTAAAAAAGAAATCCAAGAAATTCTGTTTTCTTACTTTCCTCGCCGCAATCAGCTGTTTATTGATCCTCTGCCGATTAGACCGCCGAAATTGTGCAATTTCGTTTTGCACTGTAGCAGTATGTTGATGAATTTTCTCATAAGCTACTCACGAGCAACTTACGGGAAATTTGTCTGATTCTCTTCTTTTGCATATTACCTCTCTCGGGTCACCCTAAAATTCTACCTCGGATAAGTAGCATTCTGGTGAACTGAGTGTGACACTTGATCAGACACCTTCTAACTGTTGAACTGACTATCCTAAAGCACGGGGAGGTGGGCGGGATTAGGTTCACCCGAGGAAGTTCTTCTGAATGGCTATCTCAGGTCACTTGAGATGAATGGTTTACTACGGGTGCATCACTAATGAAGGGACACGGGTCCGAATAATAGAGGCCAAAAGCCTTACAAAAAGCACAAAGTACTTGTACATGAGTACCTATACGAGTACACATGTATGATTTGATCGAGGTCATCGATCTCGTCCAAAAGCATCCTGCACTCTTCTTGTTTTCTTCGTACTTGTTCGTCTTCGTCAGTCTCCTTTTCCAGCTCCTTTTCGGGTTCCCCTATACCTTCGGCTTCGCTTAAGCGACCTAAATATTCTTCATCGCTCACTGGTTCCTCTTCGTTCGGTCCATCCTCGTATAACAGAACAAGCGAGTCGTCTTTCTCGGATGCTTCGTGCCTTCTCAATGCGATCTCCTTGGTCCCTGCTGCTATGAAAGCATGCTCGAGATCAATTTCGTCCGTCTGAGACTCAACGCTTGATACCGCAGGTGCGGCTTGACATCCCAAATGTGAACTTGTAAGTGCGCGCTGTGGCTCAGAGGACAATTTAGTTATTTTAACCTTCAGCTGGAAATTATCTAGCTCACGCTCCGCTAACTTGTCGTTGAGAGTACTGATGATGCGTTTATTCGCTTCTAAGTTCTTACTCGCTACAGAGCGAAAATCCCCTCGGCGATATGTTTTTCCTCTATCTTTTGTGCGATCTTTTCCATCGCTTTTACTTGTTTGTTCATCTCCTCCAGCGAAAGTTCTTGAAAATCGTGCATATTGACTTGTCGTACTCGATGTGATCGAAGAGCATAACACTTGTGAAGTAGGCAGTAGCGGGTACACAGAGCGAGATAGCCTTCTTTGTTTACTTTCGCGGCAAGAAGCAATCGAGTTGTGGCTAATAGCTGTTCGGCTGGTTCGCCTTCAAAGTCTTGTTCGTTCTTAAAGGCAGTGTCCGGGCAGAAACTCGACTCCTAAAAAATCAACTTATCTGGGGTTATCCGCAACGCTGAATCCGAAAATCCACATCAGAAGGCGCGAAAACGGCGAGAGCATGCATTTTCCAAGTCCTCACATTTTGAAATTTGGGGATCCCCGCCAGGCTAAGACGCAGAGGTTGCAAAGAGCGCACGGTTTTTAACTGTGGCGGCATACGTACTCTGCCGTCTGGCAGGAATTCAAACAGCTCGGAGGACCCCGCTCCAAGGCGTAAGTTTCCCCAATTTGCAATCGTTTTTCTTGCTTTAGGTCGAACGTTTTATGCTCGCAGTTGCGCGATGTTGTGTCTCAGGGGGGCTACTTTCACATGGCAGAGAAATCTCAGAACCCCCATTTTGCCCGGACACTGCCTTTAAGGTGTTCAAAGTCTGCTCTGATAGAATCTGCAGTAATTACTTGTCGCAAATCGCTTCTCTAGTCAGCCTGAGATGTTCTTCTAAGGCAGTCTTCGAGTCTTCCCCGTTATGATCATCAGGCATCTGATGTCGTCGTTGAAACTTCGGAGAGACATGCTGAGAATAGATAGTTTCGCTTTACTGCGTGTTACCGGTGAAGTTGTATATTGTTGTGGTACACTTGTTTCTGATCAACGATTTTTCATCCTGGTTTGATTTATTTTTTGAGCATATAGGCTGTATCATCCAGCATCGATCCCGCGCTATTATGCTTTGCGAGGACGCACCGTCGCATGCGACCTGCCTTAACGCGTAGCAGAGTTCGCACGCGTTACACCGCACTGTCGCGAGTTACCGCAGGCGCGATGTCGCATAACCGATGCTGGTTGGTACAGCCTATTTTAAGTGCGTCATGTTTGCGCAGGAGCACAACAGTGCTGCAAATTTCACTCTTGAAGATCGCGTTGCTTGTGTTTGGCAGAAGAGTTCGCAGGCGAATGTTTTGTGAGCGTAGGATGTCGCACGTATATGTACTGAATGCAGAGGCAGTTTTCAACCGTATAGGGCATAACTAAGTAGCATTTTTTGTCTTTTGACAAATGTACTTGTTGTGACAATCTATACAGAGATAGAATGGTAACAAGTAGAGCGATATATGGAGACATTTGAAGGTGTAAAGCGCTGCTTACTATATTGCATCAGCTCTTTCGCGTGATCTTAGGTTATACTTGGATTGAGATGCTTCTTTCTGATCTTGATTCTTGTCCAGATTAGCCTCCTTTGCGGTTCTGTCCTCCAATTCAAAGAGTATGAAGGGATTTACTTGTCGGCGTATCTGCTTTGTCGATGGGTCACTACTGCTTCTCTTATTTCGCCATCTTCGCCCGTCATAGTTTGTTATACGGCTCATTCTCCAAGAATGTCTGAGTCGGACGGCATCCCTAATGAGGACGCAATCTTCTCGAGGCAGCGATTTCGATTTATTGTGTCCTACCTCCATCGTGTTTTCTCTAGCAGGGCTGTGAGGTATTGTGTCTTCCAAACTTCCCAGAACCTGTCAGTAGACTTGCGGGAACTTTTTAGGCTTGAATAGTTTGTAGCTTCGTGCGAAGTACCATTTGTTCTTCAGATGACAAGTAAGGTGGGTCATTCGTGTTTCGTGAAGTAACTATTTCGATTGGATAATCGAGATTGATATTATTTTGCACAAAGTCAATTGGTCTGATGATGGTTTCTTCACTCATCCGAGCTTATGTAGACTAGAGGCCTCGTATTGAGTAGAGCCTCAGTCTTAACAAGAGTAGTTGACATTTATTCCAATGTGGCTGTCGACCCTTCCAAAGTCTTGTAGTGCGCGCATTTAACTGATCTTATCAGGCGCTCATAAAATCCTCCTTGCCACGGTGCAAATGGAGTGATGTGCTCCCACTTGATTTCGCAATCGCTAACCTCTCTTGCAACTGTTGTTTCGTGGCGCAGGTTTTGGTGCCTTTTAAAATCTCCTCTCCCAAGAGAAATGTAGGAGCATTATCACTTGTGATAGACTTCTGGGCTCCCCTTCTTCCGAAAAATCGTCGAAGCATGTTTAGTAGGGCTGTGGTGGAAAGATCCGTCACTACATAAATAGACAAGTCTAGCCACCATGCAAGTGATAATGACTCCGTAGTATTTACCTGTGCTGCCTTCGTTGCCTTTTATTGTCAGCAGTCCAAAGTCGTTGCCTTTTATTGTCAGCAGTCCAAAGTAGTCTAACCTGACGTGCTGAAACGGACTCGTCTGCTGTACCCTTACTTGTGGCAAGTCACTTTAATTAGGGTACTTGTATGGTCGATTGTTGAAACATTGACATTCTACACACCGTCTGATGAAGCGAGTAACTTGTGCTCGCAATTTTGTATCCAAAATTTTGACGAACAAATGCGATTGTATGGCTTATGCCAGGGTGTCCTTTGCGGTGATTTTCTCTAATTATTGCTTTTGATAGCCAAAAATTCTGAAGGATGATATATGAAATTTCGCTGTGTCATTTAAGCAGCTTCTTCCCTTTCTCCCGTGGCATCTCGGGAGGCCTTCTTCATCTTGTTTTATGTTCAGCTGAGGTACTGATTTCAACACTGCCGGAGTACCGTCATCTTCTGGCGAGCCTTTCAGGAATGGTGGTACGGTCCAACAGTAATGTTCCTTCAGTTGCTCCCTATTCAATCCTATTGTTTAGGTGGTCGTTTATCTCGATTATCTCCTCGAGTCGATTGACCGCCATTATTCCTGCCTCTCTATGTTGTTTTCTCTTAATCCACTTGTAAACACTTTTTAAGTCGGTGAAGAGATAAACGTTACTGATCGCTGCGACTGAGCATAGCTGGGTTACGGTCGAATTAATTACTCTCATTGCTAGCGTGACAGCGTTCAATTCCAACTTTGGATCTGGTACTTGAGACGGAAGTTTTCCTTTTGCTATCAAAACATGAGTAGAATTCTTCAATTTCAGCTACATGCACATGGCTATAGCTTCCGTGCTGGCATCTGCGAATGCTATGTCCACTTCTGCATGTTTTTTGGAAAAAACCTTGCTGCGATTTTCATCTCCTGGCATATCCGTTGCCATTTCTCGAAGCGAACATCTGTTACAGCAGTGTCTTAATCCAACTTGTCCTTCCACATTGATTAAAAGGATACTTTTGACTTAGGCATCAGTGGTAGCATCCATCCCATGGGGTCGTAAATGGAGGCTGTTGCACTTGTGACTGTCCGTTTGGTTATCACTGGGGGTGGTAATCTTGCACCAAACTATGAGCTGGTCTGTTAGAGAATTCCATGGAATTCCTAACACCTTTGAGACGACTGACGATCTGTCCGTCCCTGTAATCCTGTCGCTTACTTGTTTGTCATCGCATACGAATTCACGGATATTCATGATTTGTTCTTTGAACATTTGCTTGACTTTGTGATAGCAGTCTTACGCTTATGCTTTATATCCAACGTGACAATTAGATTGTCAACGTACGAGTTCTCTTTTATCTCTTGTGTCAACCTGGCAAGGTTCTTGCATTGGTCTAGGTGATAATGTGTGGTTGCCGCAAGGAGAAAGGGGGAGGCGTTAAAGCCGAAGGCCCTTGTGGACCTCAGAATAAGTACATTTTCTTGAGTAGGGGGCAGTGAGGGATGTTTGGCATAGCTCATTTATACTAGTGGTATCGAAAGATATCAACTAAGGTTCTGGAAATCAAAACGTATCAGACTATAATAAAAGTCTCGTGTTCTATCCACGTACGCGACATCATTTTTTTGCAGAGAAAAAAATGATATTTATGAAGCGTAAGAATCTTATCAACTGAAAAGCTTACTTTCTATTTCTCGCACAGCTTTCCTGCAAAAAAAAACCGTTTTAACGCCCTCCGGAACGATGTCTTGAGAATTCGTAACTAAAGTCAGGAGAAGATTGATAGGCTGCAATGAACAGGCTGTGTAGTATGTGCCCAGACTATCCTTGGAAAGAGTTTCAGCCATTGAAGTCAATAAGCTAGAAAAAATCTACATGCGACTTTCAAATTTAGCTGCGATCCTAAAGAGCAAAAACTGGGATTTTTGAACTTGAAATTTTGTAACCGACCGGGGAAGTTATGAAACAGCCTGAAAGTTTTACGATAGGAAGCAGGAGGATGGCCTCGTATTACAGCACAATTGCAGCCAACAAGTTTTAATAGCTCCCGAGAAATTTAGATGCGACCCAGATACGACCCCCCCCCTTACGTCAGTTTTTGTATTAAAAAAATGATAAAAAAATTCGCAGTTTACGAAATAAGACAGATTTTGCAGAAATGTAGCAGAGCATCTCCAAAGCACAGATAAATTGTATGGGCCAGTGAAAAGCATTACAAAGAGATTTGAAATTTATTGATGGTCGTCGTCGGTAATAATATTCGTTTTTGTCGATGTGTGAGACTTCAAGGAGGCTTCGGAAGCAAAATTCCTAAGCCAGCTGGTATATTTCAAATTTTTATTAAATCACATCCTTCAAAAGTGTTTTGAGCTCTTGAAAATGTTTTTTTTAGAATTTCTAAAAAATTTTTATCCTTACTATTCTTATTTCTACTTTTTTTAAACTTATGTAAAGAACGTGTACTGGTTATCTCTTTTTTGATTTCCTTCTAAGCTTACGGTTTTCAGCCAAACTACTTCCTCTTACGATCCCCCTCCCCACCTTAGTTGCCCATTTTACGACCCCCTGTTGTGACGGTCGCATCACACGCTTAGCCCTGGTTATGCGCATTTTTGGAGCCAAAAATTGAATGTGCATTTTGGACAAAATAGGTTGCTAAAATCTTAGCCCTAAAATAATACAACCAGGTGTGGTATATTTTTTTATTTTAGCGTATATTTTGAATAGAGTAATTTGATGAGTATCACTGCTTCACTGAAGAGCTAGAAAAAGTATTAAGGCTGTTTCTGTCCAACTTGCACATTCACTTTTTACTCCAACAAGCGCTCATAGTCCCTCGTCCATAAATGTTCTGCAGATAAGGAAGGCAGATTTGGAATCAGCAACATCTAGAAAGGCCACTTCGACTAAACATGCATTCCTTGTCAGTTTTTTTGACGGACGGCCAAACTTTGCCGAAAAGAACTCCGAATGTCAAAATCGCCGAAAAGCATTGAAAGCGCGCAAAAGCGCCACGCGTCAGCCACAAGCTTCTAAACATCACTGAGGTTTGCAAACCTAAGGCTATTGGCATGCTCAATTTCTTTCTATTTTTTCGAAACAATTATCGTTCCAGACTTTAAAAGGGGGCAAATAACAGATAAATGATGCAAAACCAAACAGGACAAGAACCTTTCAAACTCAATAACTAAACTTATATAAAGTCGATCACAATAAACAGTAATCATAGTGTGACCGGCGTGATTATCCAACGAACTTTTGGTAGGAAATGCAAGGCTCATAATCGAAATCTGCCACTTACACTGATTAGATATCATGTTTCAGTTTTTTCGTTTTGTTGCATCTGAAAAATTTTTCCTTCCTAGTGGCAGGACCATTTCAAGAATTGGCCAGACGGGCCAGACTGCGCGACGTACGCGGCGTA